CCCCAAAACCCCAAAACCCCAAAACCCCAAAACCCCTAAAGTCTTCATCTTAGTTGAAAGCTTACTTTCTTAATCACTGATGAATGGGAAATAAGGAGCTGATTCCTTACGAGAGTTCCTGAAAGAATTCCTATCTTGCTTATATCGACTGTTCTTGATCAGATTTCGAGCAGGAATTTCTTTCATTGAAATATTTCTCTGTGCATTTATGTTACAGACTTACTGTGCTCCAGTTTTTTTGGTGGCATCTTTTGTTCCAAAATACCTCTGGGATTTTTTTAATAGTCTTTTTAGCCTAGAGATGACACTTCATAGTTTACTTTCTTCTCTTCGATTGATTGGTAAGGATCATTCGTCAGACTAGAGCTGCTCCTTTTAGAGGATCTAATACAGGAGGATTTGAGATAATGCTCATCTTTAGGAGACCTTTGTTCCTTTCGAGAATCATCTTTATAAGGCAGCTCTGTCTTTGTCCTTATAATTTCATTCATATTGACTATTTTCTTAGCTACATTTGAGTAATATATTTGCATTGCAGTCCTAAAAATTATTGCAAATTTACAACTGGGGATGATCATTTTGATCTTCTGCCAACTGTGTTCTCTCTAAGAACACTGATTGTGCTCTTTGAGAAAATAGAGAATTTCTAAAAGATCAGATGCTTCTGTACCTTGAAAGCATGCTATCCGATCGTCTCCTTAATTTCTTGTTGACTAATTTTGTAAAATTATAAGTTGGGCTATTTTTGTATAAGTCTTCATATAATGGATTATCAGTCTTGCTGATTTCCCTGCCACCAAAGTCATAACTCTGGCTTTGCTTTCAATCAAATAGTTGGCATTCTTTTATTTCTTCTTGACTTTTCTCTGAAGATCATTTGATGTTTATGCCTGCTTGAGGTTGCTACAAAATAAGTCAGTCTTTACTGCTGGGATATGCAGATCTATTGAGTTTTCTTTGGGTTCAATATTTGTTATATTAATCCCTTTGAAACCTTTGTTAGTATTTTGATCCAGCTTGTGTGAATAAGAGCCTGTGGTTAGGTTTAAATGCTTACTATTATGGTCTTTTATCAAGATCTTGCCCTGCTTGGGCTCGCTACCACGAGTAATGAAGATATTACCCTGCGGAGACCCATCTGTACTAACTCTAGCTGCCTTTATTCTTTTGGTAAACCTATTAGTTCTTATTCCAAATTTTGAAATTGTCTATGATATTTGAATTTAGAGGTACCTTTCTGGCTTTTTTGAACTGAATTCTTTCCTGGAGGACGATTGACCACCACCTTGCTCACTAAAGTATTGATTTACTGCTTACATTGTTTATTGCCAAAGAGAAGGTCAGCTTCAGAGATTTTCTTTCTTAGGTATTTATACCTCATCTGGCTGGTATCTTTCGCGTCTAGTTTGCCTATAATCTCTGGTTAAAAATCGTTGATGAAGTCCTACCTGGGTTATAATCCCTGACTTGGGATGGGTTTAGAATCTCGGCTATAAAAAGGATGCTCAGAACTCTATTCAAAGGCCAGCGTACCTAACTTCATCTGCAGGTATGGAGTTTTACCTCTGTTTGCATTCTCTTTGAGGTCTACACTGGTAAGCACAGTGAATGTTACCTTTGTGGTCATGTCTCTGTTTTAATTTCGGGATTAAAAAGTTCTTATTTCTGAATATCTTATTATTTCTTCTAAGAGGCTAGCAAAGAGCTTACTTCTTCATCTTGAAGTTATTTTAGCTCTATCCCTTTTAGAATAAATTTTTGTCTAGAGAAGGGAAGTGAGCGAGCAATAGCTTTTGAGAAGTTTCTTAATGAACAATGGAATGAGAATTATGATAAGAAAAGAGTTTATCGGTTTAGAAAAGACTATTCGACATACCTAGATGATTGCTTAAACATCCTTTTTTGAGAGTGCAGGCCTGTGGCTTTTTGGTCTTGTTGGGATTCTTTAGAGTTATCATAAGAAATCTCAGTTCTCTTTTCTTTAAAATCGAGGACTTAAGTTAGAATTATTGAGAATTTTAAATGCTGGAGTAATCATAGCATTACTACAATATTAGACATGCAATACTTGAGATCTTCAGGAGTCGAAGGACTTGAATCGTCAATACCTTGAAGGAATTCTGACTTCAAACATAATCCGAAATCTCTATACACCCTGGTTAACATTATTCAACCCTACCCCTATAACCCACTACCTCCACTAAAGCACCTCTCCACCCCTCCTCCCCTCCTTACCCATACTTCGTGCTAACCCCCTCCAAAACCTCATCCAAATTGACATCGACCCTCTTCTCTGCCATTTTTCAATAATATTTACTCTAATCGGGGTTTTGGGGTTTTGGGGTTTTGGGGTTTTGGGG